CCCCTCGCCGTGGCGCCATCCCCGCTGCACCCTGGTCCTCCGCCGCGCTGTCTCGGCCGTGCCCCTTCCCTTGTCCCAACATCTCATCTCCTCTGCAACATCCGTCCAACCATTGCAACTTATGCAGTTATATAGTCATTACAATATTTAGATGAAACACATGTAACATGCGTCTGAAACAGCTGAAATATTTGGAACATACGTCTAAAACAGATAAAACATGTGGAACATACACTTGCAACATATATGTATAGCCATTACAATATATACAACATCAGATCCTTTTGCAACATCAAGATGAAACATGAAACATACATATGAAACACATGAAACATACAGATGAAACGCGTGAAACATACATATGAAATAATTGAAACACTTAAAACACTGCTGTGGTGGTGCGGGCGCAGTAGCGCGGTCGCGGTGGAGCAAGCCATGGCGATGCGGGCACGGAGAGTTGGTTCGAGGATGGATGGGGAAATAGTGGTGACTCGAGAAAAAGGCGAGAGCGATGATTTTATTTTTTTATTTCCGTGCGGATGACAATGTTGCCTGTTGGGCCATTCGGACGTCGGAGGCCCACCAACGCGCGTCCGGACAAACCACACTACTACATGAATGGTGAATGGTTTCTAGGAGAGGCTGGTGAGACTTTGTAGAGGCGGCTCGGCCAGCCGCCCCTACCATATCGTCTCTACAAATCATGCATTTGTAGGGGCGGTTCCCAGACCGTCCTTACAAATCGATTTGTAGAGACGGTTGGTGTTATCAGCCGTCCAGGGGCGGCTGGTAAACCAGCCGCCTCTACAAAATCGATTTGTACGGGCGGCCGTAGTACCAGCCGCCCCTATAATACCTGTTTGTAGGGGCGGTTCAGTCTAGAATCGCCCCTACAGTATATTTTTCCGTAAATAAAAAATTCAAATTTACAATTCAAATTCGATCAGAACACACACATATATATATAATTTAAATCTGACCAGAACATATATAATTCAAATCTGACAACAAGCACAAGAACATTATATAAACTACCATTACAAGTCCAATTTACATAGAACCTGAATGCCCTGTTCGAATTATTTTAGCAAATGCAACTTGTTAGTATCAAAAGTGAACGTTACAAATATGTATACAAACATATAAGCTAATGAGGATTGTCGATATGTATACGTCTTGAGAATCGATATGAAGTCTTTGTATGTCACCGGGTCCCTATCTATTGAATCCAAGACCCATGACATGCTCCTCCCGACATCGACGCCTATATAAATCCAGTGGTTGCTGCATGAATTTAATATGGCAAACACATTTATACTATGTAAACATGTCATGTCAATAGGCAACAAGAAATCAACAAATACTTCATCAACTAAACATGTGATGGTGGGAAGGTACGCAGTCACATAGCTTGGAAGGCTGCGGATGCAGTTTTCTGGTAACACACGACAACCTAATAATTCACATGATTTGACTGCAGTAATATAAAGAGTAAAATGTCCGTTTCAAATACTATGAATGAATCTAAGGCAGCATAGGCTCACAATATATGGTCACATGTTTGGGCAAATAAAAAAGCACAGAGAAAGAAAACTGGATAGGCAGGAGATAATGCCTCACCTGGAGTATAGTAAATTGTTTTTTATGCTTGGAAATTCCAATTTCAATTCCAATACTTTATCCTTCATTTATAACAAACAGCAATAGCAATAAAATGGACCAATCAAATTTAAGCAAAAACAAAGGAAGATGTAGCAGAAAAGGCACAATATAAGCTGAGGGAAGTGGGCAGCTCGGCGAGGCTAAAGACATTGGCATCCTTGGCGGCATGGAAGCCGTGCTCGGCCACGCCGGCCCAGACCAGGGACGCCGTGAGGGCCACCGACGCGACGAGCCCGACCGCCGACGACACGTAGGCGAGCACGCAGAGGTCCCGGAGCCACGTGGTCGGGAGTATGACCACGGCCGCCACGAAGTGAATAGCTGCTTCCCCGCAGGACGTAGCCGCCCGGGGAGGCCGACGGCCGTGCGGGAGCAGCTTGTCGAGGTTGTCGCCCTCGAGGATGAGGAAGCTGATGGCGACCAGGTAGAGCTCGCCCGTACATGACGTCGCCGATGGTCTTCCGCCCGCTGCCCGAACACGAGATGGCCGATGTCCGGTAGCTCTCGACGGCGTCGCCGCCGCGGCCAAGATGCAGCGGCGATGAGCTCGCCGGTGTAGTGAGCAGACGCGCCGACGACGGCGAAGAGCGCCAGTGAGCGTCGCGCACGGACAACAACCCGCGCCTATACAAGGAATCACATTGCATTCGGATGAATCTTGCTGTGATTATATTCGTTCGTCATGTATGTAGGCGAATCAACAAGATCGTCGATGGACGCACGGTCGTGTCGTACACGAGATGACGTTCTTTGAGGTTGAGGCAGCTCCGCCGTAAGGAGGCGCCCGTGTCGTGATGGAGGAGGAGCTGCGCCTCCATGTTGTCGACGTCGTCGGCGCCGCCGCCCGCCTGCCGCTGCTACCGCTCCTCATCTTTGCCCGGACAAGGAAGGGCTCATCGAGAGGGCTCTCCGCCGCGCCTTCATCGCCCGGCTCGGCGGTTTGTTGGCCTTTATAGATTGCCTCCGGATTTTATCTAACCATGGGCGTGGGCCTATTTTTATCGGTAACTAACTCTCACGCGTCTTTCTCCGAGGGTAAAGTTCACTTTAGGACCTTCAACTATCACGTAGTATAGATTTTAACCTCCAACTTCAAAATCGGATAACATTGGTCCTCCAACTCTCGAAAAAGTTCACTTTAGAATGACCGCCGATTTCCTGGCGGTTTTGCATGGCATTTATAAAGTCTTGCGACGTCGATGACGTCAAAGACTTCTTTTTAATTTGCAAAATTGATATCTTTTTATTCGAGCTTCAAATATAGCAAATAATATATCAATTTTGATCATCTTGACGAGCTCTTTGCAATGGTGTACTCCGTTTTGTTGTTTGAGATAATTTTATTTCATGAAAAAAATAAATATTTCTACAAAACAAGTTAGAATAACAAAACTCGTGGAATTTGTTAGATAAATAATATATTATTATGTAACACGAAATGTTGTCTTTTTAGGTTCATTTGACCATAGAATATATAAGTTTGACCATTTTGAAATGCAATAATTCAAAACTTGTTTTGTAGAAATATTTCGCTTCGTGTCCTTCCGGTCCGCAAATATTTTTGCAATAATTCAAAATATTTCTGCAATAATTCAACAAGGGCGCCGTGTCCGGTCCGGTTCTGTCACTGACGACACGAAGCTTCGCCGTGTCTTTGCCGCCTCGCGCAAGGCGCGCGAGGCGACGAGGCGCACTGCAACGCCAAACGCCACGGAGAGATCCTCGCCGGACGACCTTCCCATGAGGCACGCGCTCAACTTACCGATGCCGCACAAGATTCTAGACCACGAGTAAGCCACTCACTATTGCTGCTACACTGCTCCCTCAATTCAATCTAGCTATCCACCGCCACTTCATGCGGTCATACTCATGCCATGCCACCAGAAAGCAGAATCGCATGTGTCGGGCGAATGGTCGCCCGCCTCTGTGTGCTTTACAATAGTAGCCATAGGAAAGGAAAAAGGACAGGTGTACACGAATCGATATCAGATCGGATTTGGGTACAAGATAAATATAATACTACTACTACCACTAGCTACTTAATTTCACCACAAAAACAGAAAAAAAACTACACTAGGAGCAGAAAAACATATCGTTTGATCGTGTCATATGTTGACAGCTTAGTTAACCGCAGACTAGGGAAGGTTAATTCAAAAATATCTAAGCGATCGTGGCAGTGTCTGATTGACCGTCCAACTCCCTGTTTTATATCTCGACTACGTTGGTGTTGTACATATATAAATATACAAAGTATATAAAATACTTGCATATCGTCGACTTAATTGCATAACTTGTTTTGTAGAAATATTTATTTTTTCATGAAATAAAATTATCTCAAACAACAAAACAGAGTACACCATTGCAAAGAGCTCGTCGAGACGATCAAAATTGATATATTATTTGTTATATTTGGAGCTCCGAATAAAAAGATATCAATTTTGCAAATTAAAAAAGGAGTTACCGACGTCAAGATTTCTGATGCCATATGCAAAACCGCCTGGGAAACCAGCCAGGGTTCTAAAGTGAACTTTTTTAAAAGTTGGAGGGCAATGTTATCCGGTTTTGAAGTTGGAGGTTGAAATCCATACTTCTACGATAGTTGGAGGTCTAAAGTGAACTTTGGTTGAGGCTGCAGAGCACCGAGGAGGCCAGGAGGACTTTGGTGAAGTCATTCCTGTTGCTCATGGAGGTGTACACCGTGGGGAAGACGCCGTGGCGTGACCGGGCGAAATAAATATAAGCCGAGGGAAGTGGGCAGCTCGGCGAGGCTAAAGACATTGGCATCCTTGGCGGCATGGAAGCCGTGCTCGCCACACGCCGCCCCAGCACCGTGGGGCGCCGTGAGGGCCACCGACGCGACGAGCCCGACCCACCGACACGTGGGCGCGCGAGCACGCAGAGGTCCCGAGCCACGTGGTCGGGAGTATGACCACGGCCGCCACGGCGTGAATAAATGCTTCCCCGCAGGGGCGTAGCCGCCAGAGGCCGGCCGGCCGTCGTGGGGAGCAGCTTGTCGAGGTTGTCGCCCTCGAGGATGAGGAAGCCGATGGCGACCAGTGTAGAGCTCGCCGTACATGACGTCGCCGATGGTCTTCCGGCCCGCCACCCGAACACGAGATGGCGATGATGTCCGGGTAGCTCGGCGACGTCGTCGCCGCGCGCATCATGCAGCGGGCGATGAGCTCGCCGGTGTAATGCAGACAGGCGCCGACGACGGCGAAGAGCGCCAGCCGAGCGTGGCGTGCACGGACAACAACCCGACGCCTATACAAGGAATCACATTGCATTCGGATGAATCTTGCTGTGATTATATTCGTTAAATCATGTATGTAGGCGAATCAACAAGATCGTCGATGGACGCCGCGGTCGTGTCGTACTCGAGATGACGTTCTTGAGAGGTTGAGGCAGCTCCGCCCGAAGGAGGCGCCCGTGTCGTGATGGAGGAGGAGCTGCGCCTCCATGTTGTCGACGTCGTCGGCGCCATTGCCGCCGCTGCGCCGCTTCTCCTCATCTTTGCCCGGGACAAGGAAGGGCTCATCGAGAGGGCTCTCCGCCGCCTTCATCATCGCTGCTCGGCGGTTTGTTGGCCTTTATAGATTGCCTCCGGATTTTATCTAACCATGGACGTGGGCCTATTTTTATCGGTAACTAACTCTCTGAACGTCTTTCTCCGAATGGGGGCAAGGCTTTTCTATACCAAGATGCAAAATTTCCACCCCTTTGTCTATTTATTTTAGTCTGGCACTCCCTAACTACTTTTACACGTTTTTATACCGTCTCTATTCATGTCAACGACCCTCCTATTTTATACATATGCTGGGCTAAGAATCCTAATTCTAATTTGAATAGTGTTGGTGTTTTTTATCGACAGATATTCGGTTCTTAAAGAACTCGCCTGATGCAAAGAGCAAGCACAGTAGAGATACATAATTTATACTGGTTTGGCCCCCCGGAAAGCAAGTAAAAGCCATACGTCCAGTTGCTACTGGTTTGCATTACGATCTCGTCGAATAGCGAGATGGCGATTACAACATGACTATATAAGAGTTTCTGTAGGGACCGTGACGCCTAAGAGAAGGGGGGTTGAATTAGGTAACTTAAAACTCTAGTTCCTAAACTATGGTCTCTTTTTCTAATCTTAGCAAAACCTATGTAAAAGATAAACTATCTAAATGTGCAACTACGATTTTGCTAGTGTGTTGATATCTCTACCGTAAAAATAGTAATACAATCAATGTAAATGCGGAAGCTCAAGAGCAAGGAAGAGATATGCAAACTCCCATCGACGACTCCGGTATTTTTACCGAGGTATCGAGAAGTGCGCAAGCTTTCCCTAGTCCTCGTTGGAGCCCCTCGCAAGGAATCCCTCGCAAGGGCCAAGCTCCTGGTCGGGTAACTCCGTAGATAGCCTCGGGCCTTCCCCAGGCGCAAAGTGGGTCTCCGACATGCCTTCTGGCAAGCCTCTCCCGGATGCTCCCCGCCGTCTTCACTATCAAGCTTCCGGCCGAAACGCCGCGGGCCTTGTTCCCTCCGGTACATGGTGGCGGCCACACCACAAACGCGGTTGGTGTGATCTCGTAAGACTACAAGCCCCTCCGATGTACAGCAATGGTGCGCGCAAGCACCGAGTGGTAAGAGGTATGTAAAACTCACTAAACACTAGGCCTAAACCTAGAGCAAGTGCATAAGCGGTGGTCTAATCAATCTAAGCACCTCGCAAAGCACCTATGCTAATCACCTAATGAATCACTAAGCACTATTTAAGTGGAGATCACTAAAATGGTGTATCAACACCCTTGATATGTTTTCTCAGCTCCACCATCGTCAAATGACCAGTTGGGGGTCTATTTATAAGCCCCTCTGAGAAAGTAGCCGTTGGGGATGAAATCCCGCTTTTCTGCTACTGACCGGACGCTGATCACATCCTGACCGGACGCGTCCGGTCGTCTCGACCGTTAGAGCCGCGATCAACTAATCGGACGCTGCCAGCGTCCGGTCACATGCCACCGGACGTGTCCGGTCGCAATTTCGCCGCTCTGGAACCTTTCTGTACTCGACCGGATGCTGCAGTTCTGTGTTCGGTCGATTTGCTTGTTCAGCGTCTGGTCGCTGCTGCTGCCGAGCCTCTGATCGGAGCGTCCGATCACCTCTGTGAGCTCCTTTCTCTGTGATCTTACGTTCAGCTTGGTTCCTATCTTCGTGCTTAGACTTTGCTTGATATCTTGGATCTTCTCTTATACTTCTGAGGTCTTGATTAAGTTGTTGATCATCGGATCATCATGTCGCCTTCGTCCAAGTCACGTCTTGCACCCTATTGAACTACAAAACAAACACTTGCAAATTCTTTAGTCCAATTTGGTTGTGTTGGTCATCAAACACCAAAATTCAAAGTAAATGGGCCTAGGGTCCATTTTCCTTACAATCTCCTCCTTTTTGGTGATTGATGACAACACGACCAAAGCAAGCAAATAATAGAATTTTGAAATGATGCTAAAAGATACTACTTGTAAGACTAAAAGATACTACATAAAAACTTATCTTGCCCTTGCAAATGTCCCCATGTGGCATTATGGATATAAGCCTTGCTTCCTACAAATTTTCCCATTAAATAGACTAATCCATAATCCACTATCCTCCCTTTCTCGAACCATTACCACTTGAAGACCATTACCACTTGTAGACCATTATGATCTAGCTTTTGGTCCTATAAAATAATGCTTGCTTTTGGTCCTCTAAATTCTCCCTCTTTGGAATCAAACACCGAAAAGGAAGACATTATTAGCACAAGGGAGGGTCAAACTTTGTGATCCTTTGTATGTAGAGTGGAATTGGTCACAAAATTTGGCTCTTACATTATATAGACTAAGCTCCCCCTAAATATATGCATACATCTGATAGAAGGCAAAGCATATGCATAATTGGTAAATTTTTGCTCAAGAGAATTTAATCTATATAATGCATGGAGAAAGCATATAAATATCAAAATGAACTCAACATGATGATATTGGTTTAGAAATACCACATGTGGAAACCAATTTGATTTCTACCACTTGCAATATGTGGTAGATATTTGAAGTATGATGCTTAACTCCGGGGACTCCATTTTCCTTGCAATGAGATTACTACACACATGATAAGCTTGAAAAGGTGTTAGTCTCAAAGCATCCAACTTGTAGAGTAACCTCCCCCTAAATTTGTGCACACAAGTGTGGAATACTTATAGGAAACATGCACATTGTTTTTAGAATAAAAAATACCACTTGAAAGATGACATCACATGAATGTGAGAGTCATTTTCGAAGGCGATATTCAGGAGAAATTATCTACAATTTTGATTTTGGCACATATTAGATGAACAATCAAAAGACAAGCTATGTGCCATGCTCCTAAACAATTTTAAACCATGTAGGTTTGCTCCAAGGGTTAAGAATAAAACTGAGCAAGGCTACCATAAGATATACCTAGTGTATGCATGACAAAAGATATAAGCATGTAAATGCAAACATAGGCATGAAAAGTAACTAGATGTTTAAACATAACAATTTGTAAGAAATACCACTTGTAGGAAATGCAAATTGATTCTACTTGAAGAAAATTGAATCTAGTTACCTAACATGGGAAGGAGAATTTAGGTCCATAGTATTCACTAACCCACTTGGCAATGATTTTATCCATCATGATGCACCCCATGAAATGCACCCATCCTTTGCCAAGTCTCCAAATTCCCCGAAGTCCATCGGACTTCTTACTTCTCTTTTGGGATCCAAACCTTCGTGGTGCTTTTCATGTTGGAAATAATTTCCTTTGGCACCCAAAAGTGCTTGACCTCATTGTTGGCTTGCTTGTTCACCTTGATGGCCACCACTTTGTCATTTTTCTTCTTCTTTAACAAGTATGGTGTGGAGGCCTTCTTGCCCATCTTGTTGGTGTAGGTGTTGGAGAGCTTGCTTGTTTGCTTCTTCTCTTTCTTCTTTACTCCTCCCCCATTCTTCACCTTGCACTCATAGGACTTGTGACCTTCCTTGTGGCATACGTAGCAAACCATAGTTTGTCCTTCATCAAGCTTCTTCACTCCCTTGATAGTGTTATCTTGATGAAGTTGGGCTTGCTTCGTCTTGCCTTTCACTTGAGTCAAGTCTTTGGTGAGGCAAGCCACTTCTTGTTTGAGTTGCTCATTCTCCTTTGCAATCACTTGTGTGAATGTATCTACAACAACTTTCTCAACACAAACTTGGTTGCACAAAGATGAGTCTAAACATAAATCATTACAAGAAGTAGAGGCATCCTTTTTAGACATGTTAAAGATAGAACTTTCTTATTAGATGCCTTGGTGGGGGTTGTACTAACGGTTTCAAGATTAGCAACTTTATTAGTTAACTCATCACAATGTTTGCACATGGTTTCTATTTTAGCAAGCAAACTTTTATAAGCATTTTGTGAGCTAGCTAACTTTTTTTTTAATTTTTTTTTCTTTACAAGTCGCTCATCATTGATTGTGCACGCATTTGTTGTTGCACTAGCCTCAAGTTGCTCAATTTTAGTAGATAGTTCAACATTGAGATTAGCAAAGTTCTCATATTGTTCAAGCAAGGTTTTGTATGCTTCTTATGAACTATCTAGCTTTTCTTTTAATTTTTCGAGCTTCTTTTGTTGACTAGTGCAAACTTTAGCATAATTAAGATTTTATTGCATAATTTTATCATAAGAAGGCATTTCATCATCACTATCACTCTCACTAGAAAATAAGCTTTCGTTACCTCATGCCATAAGGCACATACGAGAAGAGCTTGATGATGAGTGCTTGCGCCCTCGCCTCTTGTGATGGTGTTCTTCTTCACTTGAAGAATCATCCCATGACTTTATTGATGTGAGGGCTTGGTTCTTGCATGCCTTCTTCTTTGTGTTGGGTGTGGGCTTGTTTGGACAGACTTCCACAAAGTGTCCCAACTCGCCGCATCCATAGCATCCTCTCTTTCTTTGCTCATTTCTTTGATTGGTGAAAATGAGATCTTGGATTTGGATGGACACACCCTTAACATTGAGCCTTTGGATCATCTTCTCCACCTTGTTGATTAGTTTGATTGATTCTTCATCAAGGTCAGAGGTGGAGGAGGAGGATTGATCATCTTCATTTGAATCTTCATCATCATCATCCTCATCATCATCTTCTTCTTCATCTTTACTTGAGGAGCTTGAGCTTGAGCTTGTCTCAACTTGCTTGCCCTTCATCTTCTTTTTCTCGCTACATGCGAGAGCTTTGCCTTTGCTCAATGAAGAGGCTTCATCTTGACCCATCTTATGTGACATTTCAAATGCCACTATCTTGTCAATGACTATGCCCAGGGTCATGGTGCTCAAGTTCTCCATGTTGTGAAGGATGGTGATGATGCTTGCATATTTCTTTTGTGGTAGCACGGAGATGATCTTCCTCACGATGTCCGCATCATCTAGCTTTGTTAATCCTATTGAATGGAGCTCATTGATAATTAGATTCAAACGAGAATATATATCACGAACAAGCTCATCATCATTTATTTCAAAGGAATCATAATTTTGTTTAGCTAGA